GTGCCATTGTTTCTTTTTTGTCATACTGACTGCTGTGTCGCCAATCCTATGCGGTTCCTTTTCAGGTCGTGGAGGTGTACAAGCGGACTATCATCATGTACCGGAGAGAACCGGTGCTGACAAAGGCGCGACTGGGCCAGACCGTCGTTGTGGCTGTCCTAGTAGGCTTGATCTTCCTTCAGCTTGGAGACTCACAGGTACACCACTGCTATGCGTTTGCGTGCGTGTGCTCTCTGTAATGTTTTTTGTGATGCGAGGGGGAGAACTTGTCATGGATTGCGTCTGACACAGTGGCGCTGCTCTGCTGTAGCTGCAGCTCTAGCAAGTGGAAAGTCCCGGGGTCTGCGGTGGCAACGGTGCGTGACGGCCGCACCGGCATGTTTGCACACTCTGTTCTTATTCTGCCACAGCTGTTAGTGTCGTGCGAGTTGGCTGTAAGCGGTGCATGACGTATGTGGCCTGAAATTGTTCTCCTTTCCCTCGAGAGCTCACCCGCCTCGTATCCTCTGGGTGGTCGGAATGCACTCGCCCGGCGTCTTACACGGGTATCGGTACCACCCTCACCCGAGCCTCTCACGGGGCTCAAGATAGGGTGGCGGCATCGCTTGCGGTGACGGTCCGTGGTGCCTTCACCCCATGCGCTCGTAAACACCAGGACAATTTGCACTTCGCCGGCATTTGCTGATGCCTTCCGCTACTTCTTCGCCGATGCAGCCGGGCGCGTGTTCCTGTGTAGAAGTTGGGTCGAAGAGGCAGAATTGTGCGTACTTTCATTGCAGGCGCCCTCATTACAATATTATTTTCTTCCCTCAGCAGCATCCGCGGCATGCACGTTCATTCTGTTTTTTTGCCGGTCTTTGATCGACATTGTCAACCTCACTCTCTTGACTCCGGTGCATGCCTAGGGCATGAGCGTACGAGTTTGCCCCCTTCCCCGAACCCAACAACGAAGAGTTATTGATGTCGACCCCCCAATGTTTCACTCATGGGCACCCATTCTGAGTCGTGCGACAGGAGCTGCTTCCGCAACTGCTGTCGGTGTTGAGAAGAGTGGGCGCACTCTCCCAAAGCACTCTCAGCTGCCTAACTCTCGGCTCCTGTCTTATGTTGCACGTGCAGAGTGACGTCCAGAGCACAATGGGAGTTCTGTTCTTCGTGGCCATCAACCAGGGCATCCTCGGCACCATCGGGGTGCTTCAGGTACGGCACTGCACAGATTCACAGCTTTGGCGTACACAATTAGAGTCGAGACACCACCGAGCTGTGCAACACGGCAGGGAACTTGGGAATCTTGAGTCAGGAATAGTGTGGGCCATGGGTCACCCTACACTGAACAAACAAGAGGGTGCGAACATCGGCCGGCAGCAAATGAAGGAAAGGTATTGGCGAGCTGTCTCCAAGGCCGCCCTTTCCGGTATGGGGAGCCTCGCCATCGAACAATGAAAGCCGGTCTTGGGGTTGTGCAACGACGTCCATCTGTTCGGATTGTTACCCTTCGGTCGGTGTCCCGGATCATGGTGACGGGTGACGGCACGGACGTGGGTTTTCGACGATTGATTGTATCGATTTCACGTAGCATGCGAGCGGTGCCTGTAGGCTTTGTGATCCTCTTTGCTTGGGAACGATTTCACTCCACCGGTTGAGCCTTACTTCCGGGTAGGGTTTTCCCACTTCATTCCTATACCGGTAGAGCTGTTGGTGTGGTGTTACTTTCAACAAGGGAATGCTCTCAAGGTGTTGCGATGCACACGATGACGGCTATAGTATATTCAAGTGAACATTTCTTCGTGGCGATAGTAGCGGCGCCGGTGGTTTTCACTCCGCCACGTGTACTACGCGCGCTGTCATCTAAGACCATGAGAAACTAGTGCCCCTACACCGTATTGACTTAAAACAAGAGTTTATTCACATCTATTTGATGACATCGTGGACTAGTAATTGTTGTTGGTTCGGTGTGATCGGCGACAAGAGAAGTCACCAGCACGACAACAGAAGGTGACTTGTTCGAGGATGTTGTCACTCACTTCGTGGCTTCGAAGGAAGTTTGGTTCACTCGGTTTCATGTTCAGCTCTTTCATGCAATCTCACTCCACGTGAGTAATTATGTCAGGCTGTGTTACGGTCTTGACGGCAGTAGTGCAGGCCCTGCGAGTCCCTACGGTTTCATTGTTGTGCCGCACGTGGAACGTTCTGAGTAGGCTCACTCAGAACCCGTTCAAGTGAAATGATATTCGGGGCGCTCGCTGTTTAGAAGGAGTTTCTGGGTCGGGGGTAGATTGAACCTGCTTCTCAATTGCGGCTGGCCGACCAGGACATTACCTCAACATTACGCCGCGCTGGTCGTGTTTGGTAGCACGTCGAAGTTATTTGTGTATTTCTCTGCTTCATTGCATTCCCTTCTCTTGGTTTTCAGGTTTTCCCGAACGAAATGCCCGTCTTCCTACGGGAACATGACAGCGGAGCGTACCGTGTGAGCTCGTACTTTTTCGGCCGAACCCTGGTGAGCACGCATGAAACTTTGGAAGCGGACAGCACTTACATGGGTTTGCAGTCGGTCGATGGCCGTTGATATGATCGGGTGTGGTTTTAGTTGACGAGAAAGGACTAACTTTGGTGGGGTATGGGCAAAGGTAGCGAATGAGAGGGTGAACAATAGCTGAGTTTGAATCATGAACATCGCGCAGTGTGGATGAGAGCTGCATCCACTTTCCCGCAGAGGCTAAAATCGGTAGGGATAGGTGTAGTAGGTCGTTCGTCATTACTATTTTGTCGTCTTATTATTTGCGACCGTTCTGATCGACTTCCCATCTGAACTCACAGGCAGAAATCCCGATCCAGGTGGTTTTCCCCGCAGTGTTCTCGGTGATCATCTACCTTCTGTGCGGGTTCCCGCTGGAGGCCAAGCCTTTCCTGCTCTTCATCGTGTACATCGTGCTGACGTCCAACTCGGCAATATCCCTAGGGTGAGGCCCTCTGCCGCCGACACTCGTGTGTCATATTCGCATTCATTCCCCCGGCTTTTCACGTGCGAGAATTCCTGCGTTGTAAACCAGGCCAATGCAGTTACAATGTGGATATGTCGGGTGGAGATGCAGCGTGTGTCGTGTTGAGGTAGATGTGGTTTCATCTTGTGTGGGCTGTGAAGGAATCGAACCGTGGTCTCTGATATTTCCCGGAGGTGGCCACATGAATCGTTGGTGTGACACCTTGGAAGTGGTGGACACATTGAGTCTGTTCGGCGTCCGATTGTGACTCTTGTCTCAAGTCGAACGATGAAGGTTTGGTGCGAGACTTAATGAAGTCTAGCGGTGTGCTGCCGTTACCCCAGGGGACGGCAGTTATGACGGTGTTGGGTTCGAATCTTCCGACAACCCCATAGTTGAATCCATGGGGATAACGCTCTTTTCACTGTTTGAATTTCTATTCCTAGTGCTGCGTGTTTCTTTGTGCTCCCATTGCATGTTTGTCACATTCACTCTTTTCTTCTGTTCTTTTGCTGCACATGGGTCATTCCTTTCTATCCACTGCCGGTCGAATATGGACAGTTGAGCAGGGGCAGTCCCTTATATCTTCAGATGCTACGTTGTTCCTGTGTTAGGCGCGGCTTTTTAACATAACCCGTGATTGGTTGTACCGGCATTTTTGTCTGCCCATCTCGTCCGGCCTTGGGTACTCGTCCTGTTTTCTCACCTTTCACGCGCGGTATTTTTGGTCATTCCGTCGCGTTTCGATGCGTCGTCGATTGTCTCGGGATCTGCAAAATCCGTTGCAGCTTCTTTTCCTCTCATCTCGCCGTGCATTCGTGTGTCCATTCCGCTGCGTATGGATGCGTCGAATTTCTCGGGGATCTGCAAAATATTGCAGGTATGTGGTGTCTGCCTTCGCGAAGAGTGTAGACGTCGCCCTCGCCATGGGACCGATGGTGAGCAAACTGTACACGGTGCACCTGCAGCATACTATTCGCTCTTCGCTTCTGGTGCATGACTTTTGTCTTGGTGCCCAAGATTTAGCTATTATGTAGCGCGATCGCACTCGAACCCAGCGGCCACAGGTGAGGTTGGCTTACTTGTCATGAACGCGAAGAGCAAGCCACACGGAAATATCGTGGACTGATCGTCGGTACTGATGGCGCTTAGGTGAGAGTGCAGGGGCGAGCCTCGGCGGAACGATTTCCACATGGCACAATCCATGTCTTGTCACCAGGTCGAGGCTGAAAACGTGATCGGGTGGCACCTAAAAATCGGAAGGGCCATCCGCAGAAAATGTGTCCGTTTTTCGTGGTCATTTTTTGTTGAAATTTGGTTTCCAGGGAAGACGCAAAACATCGCCGACCCTTCTCCGTTGTTGGCAGTTTTGCGTCGGACGCTCTTGTTGAGGAATTTGTCAACAGATGACTTTTCGTTGTCAAACTCAGACGCACGAAATTGTGATTCTCATGGGGCTCTTGAGGTTCCGCGTCGACGCTCGTGACTCGATGGTCTACCTGACCATGGGCGCCATGAACCATCGATGAAGACCAGTACGTGCGACACATGGTCAAATTCACTGTTCGAGAACCCCATTCGGATATGCGTGGAAACGGTTTCGAGTCGAAACGGTGTCGAGTCGTCCATCGACCGGCGTTGATTTCTTTGAGACCGCGATTTTCCTGGATGGCATGTCGATGAGATGGTTTTTGAAGACGCCGCTGTCACTTCCAAAACAGTGTGCAAAGAGTCGTATTCACAGTCGATACGTTCACCGCCGTTGAGGGGTAGTCGGCTCACTTTTTAACGTCACGGACTCTCCACGCCGATCATCATTTAGCTCGGAGTTAGCGACTGCTGTTCTCTCTTTGTTAGGCCATCTCTATTGAGGGAGCTGGCGACCGCCAAAACAAATCAAAATGGTCCCACGCGCAACCCATCGTGGTTCCATCAATCCTCATGAAACGCCGGATGCAACGCAGCCGCAAATCACGGCGAGCTTATTCAGCACCACCCCCACGCTGCTTCTTGCAGATCCTGATGCCCTTCATCATCTTCGGTGGACTGCTGATCAATCTCAGTGAGATTCCCGTCTACTTCGTGTGGTATTCCATCTTCTCTTTCATCCAATACGGTACGTGAGATTGCGACGGCTTGCTCCCCTTTGCTTCGTCCCCTCCCGCTTTACTTTGGTGGCCGAAGATGCAAACCAAGCCCTGTCGGTTCTTCGACAACAGTGGGGCGCTAACCCGGGACACCTCTTTCCAAGAGGTTGCCGGCAATTAGCTCTTTTGAGTGACTTGCGAGTTTGCTACCGTTCCTCGTTTTCAAAGGCATGTTGGCTAAGACACACCTTGTGTGGCGTACCACTTTCCGTTCAAGCCACAAGCTAGAGCAACCGTAATACCATGTGTTTTGCACGTTTTTTTCACGAGCGCTCTCCCTGCCGCTGCGTGCGTTGCGGGTAATACAGGCTACAAGGCCATCTCGATCGTCATCTGGGAGTCGAAGGAGACGCTCGATTGTCCACCGGAGCCCGAGCCATGCGTCTTCCCCACGGGACAGGATGTACTGGACTATCTCGAGTTCGAGGGCGGGAACAGAGAGCTGTGGCTGAACTTTGTATACTTGGTGAGGCGTCCTCTGTTGTGTGTAGCGAGAGGGAGGTTTCATTTTGAAGAGTGCACCGTCGAGGGAGCACAACAGAGACGGTAGTGAGCGTGCTTGTGTTTGGCGAGGTTGTTCTGACTCTTTTGGTGGTCTGCGTCATGCGTTTGCTGGATTGTGTGGCGGTGCGACAAAGCGGAGTAGCACCCCGGCCAGGTTTTTGGGGTTCGTACGCCCTGCACACGTCACGGCAAAGTAGATTCAGCGACTTTCACCTTAGGTTTGCGTACTGAACACCACCACCTCATTTGCCTCTCCTCTATCACCACCAACACCTCCGCAGGTGGCCCTCATGGTGGGATTCAGGATCCTGGCGTTCTTCGCCTTGCTGTACCGCAGCCGTCCCACGGGGGAGCGTGCTTACTGACACGCACGACGCTCTGGTCTCTGTACAGCAGTATGTAACGGGGATCTAAGTGACGTAGTGGTTGTTGCTTTGATTCCGAGGAGTGCACGGGGACGATCGTTGCTGTTTCTATGGCATGTCTCCGATTGCAGAATACGGAGAGAAAACTCCGCGTTCGCAAAGAGCCGTGTTTTTCGTTGTTTCGGTGGGCTAGATATACGTACAAGATTTAGGTGACGCATGTACGTACCCGGATATTTTGACGTCCGCGAGTTTCGAGGCCCACAACAACAACAGTCGATACACACGGCTGCCTGCATGGGTATTCCCGGGGGCGGTTTGTGTTGTGCCAAAGTTTTTTTTTTCGCTGAATGTGGCGTCGATATGCGCTCAACCGTGAAAGTGTTTGCGTCATGCGCAACCACCCCATTTCATCTGCCGGAATCGATGGTGTAAATTAATTTGTCTTTCAGGAAAGAGGGGGGGGCAGGGGAGTCAGGGGCTCCCGCGATGGGGGATGGCTTCAGTCGTAGTCCTTCAATGTGTGTGTTGTTGGAAATGTGTTTAGCCAACTCTTTTGAATCGAGGTGGGGAATTGAAGAAGCTTGAAAGGTTTTGTACACACGTCATTCGTCACTTTGTACAGTCGTGAAAATACTTCAGTCCTCGCACTTTGGCTGGAATTCCGCGCGTTGTAGTTGTAATTTTGTCCTTAGCGGGCGTTGCGAACGAGGTAGTTGTAATTTGTCCTTGGTGAGTGTTAAGTGTAGGGTCGGGTCGGGGCCGGTCCACGCGCGCTCCGCCAAGGCTGTCATTGGCGAACGTGCCTTAATACTTTGGAGGAGCACTGTGTCATCAGTGATTACACCCGGCTTCGGCAACATGCATACATACATGGTCAGTCTTCATCGTCAGTAGGAGATCGAGCAGGAAGTTCGCCTTGGGCATTTTTCCACCGGTTGAGAGCCGGCTGGCTCTGCATTTGGTTGACTACAATAATGTAGCGAAGACTTGCAACGGCAAAAATTTGATGTTTGCCTTGCGAAAGCGGATTTTCGCAATCTTTCCTCTCAATCTATTGTCCCCCGTTGGACCCTTCAACAGACACGAAGCCGGACGATCATGGCCGACGGGATGATCTGTAATACCTTTCGGTGAGACCTGAATGGATGGATGGAACGAGAGGAAGTGAAGTGAAACCTGCGGCAGATTTCAGCGGCGTGTCACATGGGTCTTGGTGCAGGACACGCACACGGCAGTTTCGCATGTACATGCTACAGTAGGCCCTCGTCTGTGCGTACTGAAAAAGTCCTCTCCGACGACATGTAGTCTATGTGAAACCTGATCCCATAGTCAGTCTACCGTGAAGGTGCACATCCAAAGCAGGGAAGGTTGTGCAATCATCTCGTCTACGTCGACCCAGGGCCTCTATGATTCACCTGCGAGATTCCGGAGCAAGAACAAAGGACACTTGTGGAAGGGGGGCTGCAGCAGCAAGAGTAGAAGCAGAACGCGTACTGTTCGATGGGCGGGTGTGGAAATCGATGAGCTATCTTCGACAACAGACCTGCTCCGTGATCATTCATGTCAGAACGCAGAAACCCGTTCGCCGCGGCAAGCTATAGCTGCCCATACAACAGCGAGAGATATTGAAATCTCCTCAGCCACACAGAACTCCTGATACAAAAGTTCTCCAAGGTTCGCAGTGTGGGCTGAGATCGGCTTTGGGACCCGATCGATCAATCAAGAAGGGAGGGCAGAGAGAGATCCAACTCTTACCAAGCTTTTGGGAACACACTACCGATGCTCAAGAGCAGGCCATCCCCCAACTAACACGGCGAGAGCTGCAGTCAAGTAAGGAATGTGAACTTCGCATGCAAACGCTTGATGAAAAACGCAAGGAGAGCAGCAACTCAATGTCCATCTATCTATAATAATCGGCTACACACACCTCCCTGAGGTTACCGTATTATGAGCAAACCGACCACGTATTCTAGACTGGTACATCTCACTTCCACAAAAAAGCGAATGACAAAATATATGGTCCAGAGAGCAACCGAATTCCATGAACGAACAATGTACGGCTCGACACAGATAAACGAATTTACCGTCCGACGGCTTCAATACGCTCGCGAACACCGCGGTCGCATCAACTTTGGCGGCATCAGTTTTTGAACGCCACGCGTACATATGAAAGCTTTTCTGGCGAAGCTAGCCAGGATACCAGAGAACAGCAAACTCACTCGCGTTGGTCCGACCGAACACATAAGATGTCACAGCCCTGGAACAGCAGCACGTGCTCGGGCTCAAACATGTGCCGGAAAACGACTCGAGAGCCGATAACCACACCCGCGACGGGTGCGTCTACCGTAATGAACTTCATGTCTTCACATGGAGCGTATGAGTACGTATTTACATAGTTCCCACCACAACCTCTAGGCCCGCCTGTGTTATGGTAGATAAGTATGGTCCACACAGAACCTTCCAATCTAAGGTATAGGATCCCCAAAGTTGGCCAACCTCATCGCATACGTTTCCAAGGCGCAATCGCTCTTCTCTATCGTGATCGTGTTGTTGACAGATACTCCGTCGACACATGGCTGCAGGAGCGTCAGTTTCCGCCGCCCGGGCATAATCTTGGTCATGCAGTATACCATCTTTTCGGTCTCCTTCGGCGGATTCTCTTCAGCACCCGGCTGCGCCATAGCTGTTTCCGATTTGAGCCAACTCGGCTGCAACGCTCGCAATGCAGCCCCGATGGACCGTCGGTTCCGCGTTCGCTGCTGCGACCTTGTTGGTGAGTGTGAGACCGCTGGACATGGCGAAGTCGCTTCTGTAGCCGGGAGGATGGCTGGGCATGGAGACGCCGCCTCAGCGGATGAAACGGATGCTTCGCGGTCGAGCAAGAAGCAAATAATCATGCTCATCTCTTTGGCTCCGCCACTGAGGAACAGCGGCGTGTCACCGCCGGCAGGGATGATTTTTGATGGTTTGTTAACAGGGAGCATCAATCGCTCCGTCTTCTTACCAGCCTCAAAACGGACGCCGATAGTCTCGCAGAAAGTCAGCGAACAAGCCTTGATCGTCTCCTGGCTGGCGTCAAAGGAAACGGGCGTTTGCGTAACGTGCGCGGCACAAGTCGTAGAGTTCACCACCAGCACTGATTCATCCCATCCACGGGTCACCGACACCGCGCTTGATTTCTTCGTTCGCTTGGCCGCAGCGTAATCTGAAAATGCTTGATCTGGGCACGGAGACACGTCGACCCCTGCTCATCCCTGTTGGTATGTCCGTACTTGGGAGGAGAAGACACGCTTCAACTCTCTCTCTCATTAGGCACCCGCGGGAGCGAGGAAAGGAAGGGAAGAAGTGGCCCTCCCGAATTCGGGGAAGGCGGCCCACACATAGTAGCCTTTTTCAGGCATACGCATGCTCCTGTCTACGTACCCCCCCCGTGCTGCTAGCAGATCTACCATGCTCGTATCCAGACACACGAACACCCTCCCCGGTTCGTCAAGCTATTGACGAACCATCAGTGGGGCATGGATACTCCAGATCTACATAAGTTACTCATACAACAACGGGTGCAAGGGAAAAACTCGGTCATCCGGATCAAAAACCCTCGCCTAGAAACTCAAAACATAAAAAGAAACCGTCGCTATCACGAAGGATTCCAACGGCCGCACTATCAGGGCAGGACAAGGCAGGACAGATTGGACAGGCCACGCTGATTACACACCCGAAGCAATTGGTCAAAAACCCTAGGCTCCCGCCGCGGGTGACGCCCCTGCCCAATGCTTCCTGCGTGACATACCACGGTCCGAGACGCGCACAGTGCTAGAACAAAACAAAACAAACGCCACGAAAACGAGACCAGAACGCTACATTGGCAGGTTCATCAGAGCCTTCCGGTGGTACTCCAACTTGCCCCTACCAAGGACTTTGGTCAGCATATCGGCGTGCTGCTCTTCTGTCGAGACATAATCTGCGGTGATCTTACCCGCCTTGAAGAGCTCGCGGATGAAGTGGAACCGCACGTCGATATGCTTGCTCCTCGCCGAGCTGAAAGGGTTCTGCACCAACGCGAGAGCCCGACCGTTGTCCTCACGGACCCTGATCGTGGCACCGCTCGTCTCGGGCGCAATGAACGACAGAACACCACGCACGAACAACGCTTCCTTCACGCCCTCCCCGGCTGCAATATTCTCTGCCTCCGTGGTCGACTGAGCCGTCACTG